ACTTTAATAAATATATTGCATTCCACATTCCAAGATAATTTTACTCTTAAATTCATATCAGTCAGTTAAATGATGGTTACTTAAGAAAGCCTTAGTATAATTTCATACTAAGCGGTCCACATAATTGAGTCATGTTTATTGGTACCTTAACACTTTTCCATTTGATAATAATATTTATCATATGCTGTTGGAGGTGTGTTGATTTTTTTAAATGGTAAAAGTTTAAAACTAGTCGCAAAGATCTATGAATAGTCGCAACAAAAATAGAGCGAGAAAGTCTTCGAGGCGGTGGGCGGCGCTGACTACCGGCACTATTTTCATTTCGTATAGTGCCACATTTAATTTCGTTGAAATTCTAACGTAGCTTTGCAAAAATGTCAACTTTATTCCGCCTCAGCCGTCGTTTCACTCGGATGCCTCGCTTCTTCATTTTCAGGAATGTTCCGCAGTTTCGCGGCGGGCTTTGAGAAAACTATAACTTGGGGAAAACTTACCGCAACTTTGAAGCGAGATGTAGCTCCCGACAAAAATTTATCAAAGCGTGTTTAAATTTCGTTATGACTTCTTTGCTTGGTTTTTGCTAAAGTTTCACGATGAAATATATTCGTTGCATTTCTTCAACGATTACTTCGGTATAACTTATAGTCACATTTAGTTGATAAAAGTTTATAAAACATGCCCAAGTATACACTTAAAAATGATGACATTGTCATTTATAAAATCTGTCAATCAATAACACGGGCGCACTGTGAATTTGTAAGTAACTCTAATCTAATAGAGCCACATTTTTATCGCTACTGATTAGATTGTAGTATTAATACATTTTAGACAGAATATGACATACGAAAACTTTGCAATTAAAATTGATTATGATAAAGTTGTTTTTGAACTAAATATGTTCCCATTTTTATCTATTTTCTTTAAATTTATGGATTTAAATGCGAAAGTAAAATAATCCTATTACGTTTTATAAGTTTATATTTAGAATAGTTATATTAATTTGTCATTGTATATATTTTCTAAATCAGATTATTTAAGTACCTTTATATTTCTAATTGGTAAATTTCCAAATTCTCCAATAAAAATGAAGAAAAACAAAACTTATACAAAGAGATAAAACGTATTGGCGAAAAATCAAAATGTATTCTGTAATACATTTGTGAACGCCGGCTTACCGATCTCATAACCCATCTGAAATTCATATTGAACGGCGATCGTATAAAGCCGAGTACACACTGTAAAAGGCTGTGCTCCCGCGGGAGGCGAGCCGGGCCACCGGCGATAGCACTCATCGGGAGAATAAGCCTGTTTCCCGACGTCGAGGTTTAGGGATGCGACATCGACTCAATGCTGTTTTATTCTACTGCCATCAATACTTAAAATGCTTGTGAACGATATAGTGATGTACCAGAGTGAAATCGATAGAAATACTATGTAATGTATAATAAATTATTACGTAAGCTTATAACAATCTACAATTTTAATAAACCTTTATTATTTCTATACCGTGATATTATGCTGCGTCCAAACGCATTCTTTGTTCTCATAAAGAAAATTGAAACACACTTAGGAAAGTGACAGTTAAATTTAAAAATCATTTAAACAATTATCCAGTTAAACCTGATTTAACTGTTAATGAATTACATAAACTAAATATTATGACGTAGCAACCAAGGTTTATACAATTAATGATTCAAATAACTAAAGTAGTATACTATCGATAACATTTATCGATATCGGCATATGACAAGGTCGTGTCTATTATAAAAGGATTGACGTTTGAGGTGGAGAACGATCGAAGTAGCGGATTGAGACGGAGACAAGAGACGAGCGAGGTACCTGCGCGCCATTATGGCAAATATTGTGTCGTCAAAGTGACTAGAAATTAAATCCGTTACATCACTTCCATTCAGCCATATGTTATACGTATTACATCACTTATGATATCAGAATATTAGGAGAAAAATATCACAATAAACAGTATTTAATAGTTTTAAGTATTATTATTGTAAAAAACAAAATATCACTCGAAAAAAATTAATTAGCACCAGTAACTTAAAAGCACAAACTAGTGTTGTGTTCCATTCCCTTAACTATTACTGTTTACAATACGAAGTCTCAATATTACACAAGAAAATTGACCTAATCGTATGATTCAATAATTCGAAAGGATAGTAAATACCGCAAATTATGACGATCTCATTTGGCAGGGTCAAACATCTTGACATATGAAGGGTAAATCCTTAGCGAGCACAAATAAATACGCTCCTTGCGTATTATATTTCTGATCCCCGGGTATTAAAGATATAGAAGGGTCAGCAATAGATTGGGCCGAGACGGACCCTATAACTCATGTACCTTTGCGACCCTCTCAATTGGTATTAGATGAAAGTTTTATTGTTTCTTATATTATTTGGAAATATTCAACGGATTAATTTTATTGTCAACGTATCACTTTATGAATCATTGATATTTTAACTAAATCGTCGAAGCATTTAAATGTGGCTTTTATTTTTTTTATAATACGTGCTCCTGTTAAAAAAAAAAACCAACATATTTACAAGTAGTTATATATACATTCCTTACTTTTAAAATGTTACAAAACAAAACGATTTCAAAGACTGTAATATAAAATGTTACTTAAATATATGCATTTCGCGAAGTGATAAAATTGTCTCTTTACTTCGAAATATTTCTTAAAATGGACGTCACAATCCGAAATCTTTAACGGAATAGCTCCGGCAACACTTTAAGTCTAAGTAAGTGTCGTTCGGCGGCCGAAGATTTGCTGGACCGCCGCTAATGGCCTTTATCCTTATTTATTGAACTTGCCGCGGGAACCAAATCGTACTGATACTCAATTTAAACTGCACTTTATTTTGTACAAGCATAACATTTTGTAATACAAACAGAAACTGCAAATTAAATGTTAATTTAAATAATCTACAGTTATTAATGCATAAGTAATGATTACAATAACTGCCCTTGTTATAAAAAAAGAAATGATATTGTCTGTGCTTGCATTTAATCATACTTCATACTAATATTATAAATGCGAAAGTTTAGAAGGATGGATGTTTGTTAGAGTTTGTAGCCTAAACGGTTGAACCGATTTCGATCGAATTTGGTACAGATGTAGAGGATAGTCTGGAAATACACATAGGCTACTCACCTATGTTTATTTTTTATTCCACGCGGACGGAGTCACGGGCGAAAGCTAGTTTAAAAATATATTTTTAGAATCTTTTTTTTTAGAATTTGATATATCAAATCTAAAAATAAAGCATTACAATTTATTTTTTTTAAATAGCAAATTGATCACAAAGACATTACGCTCGCCGTATTTCTGAGAACATCTCGAATTGTAATCGACGAATCTTATCAAGGGGGGTTCCTCCCTGGGGTAGGGGGCGCGTAAACAGGTCACGGCGGACCTCAAACGAGTTCAGACAGGCGAAAGGAGTCGAACATGTCACGGTTCCACGACTCGACACCTGCGTATAATCCGCACTTAAGATTTGCGGCTGAATGTGACAGATTGCTAGTTAACCTTACATGTTTTGCTTGAACCGGTGTGAGTTTAGACACGTGTTTTAAACTACACTACAGCGAGAGTCATTTAAGATAACTCTGAGTGTTTTTCGTACTGGAGTTGTAATCTTAGTTTATTTTTCGTCATACTGATATGCAGTATTAGAATTCACGCTGTCGGTATTAACTAATCTTAGATCTTTGTATATTATGATGTAATGAATATATCAATAGTAATTATTTAAATTAAATGTACCAGTAATATGATTACAACATACTTCTAAGCCTCTTCAAACAAGAAGGTTATCGATGTACATTTTCAAGGACTTTCAAGGTTATTACAACAATAGTTCAGAAGTCTGATAAGTATTGAATATTTCTCTATTACTGTCACAAGTTGTGGAAACAGTGAAGTAAATCGTTCATCAAAGATTGAGGTACGTGAATCACATTTCGAGCGAAAACTGTTTCTTTGGGTTTGACGATAAGTCGATATGTCTAATCAGTGATAACAAGTTGTAGATAACTGTAAGTGTATAAAGGAGGTTCTCACTTTTCTTTTGTTTTTTTTTTTAATTAAAAAATCTATGTCAAGTTAAAATTGCGTAATAACACTTGGTTTACCGCAAATAATTAGTAAAAATGTAACTGAATGTTGTTAAGCCTGTTTACATTATTAACAATTTAATAAGTAAAATAGCTAAAAACTATCCAATCGCTAAACTGAGGCATAAAGGTTAAAAGTTACCAATTACAGACAGTTTGTTTTCAAACATTTTATAATAATGTTAACCATTTATTGTCTGTAATTCTTATCGTTATTTTTGGGTAAGTTGTCACTGGACATCAGGAAAATCACTAGCATTACTTTGTAATCTTACTAATATTATAAATGCGAAAGTTTAGATGGATGGATGGATGGATGGATGTTAGTTGTAGCCTAAACGGCTAAACGGATCTCCATGAAATTTGGCACAGGTTTAGAACATAGTCTGGAAGAACACATAGGCTACTTTTTATCCCGGGAATAGTTGCGGTTCCCGTGAGATTCGTTAATTTAGTTTTTTAATGTTTATTCGATCATTCTGCAACGGTTCAACATATCTTATTGAAATTTGGCACAGATATAAAACAAAGTCTGGAGTACACATGGGATAAGCTTCATCCCCGAGAAATGTCCGGTTCCCGAGGGATACGTAGCTTTTTGTAATTTATGTAGTTCGTATGTTTTCTAATACCACGCGGACGAAGTCGCGGGCAACAGCTCGTATCTAAATAAAATCATCCTATATTAGTTAAAATCAAGACAAGGTGTATTTAAAAATGAAACAATCTTAAAATAGCTTATTCGTTTGACGTCAGAGATAGAAAATCAATAACAAGATCTGTAGTATGTATTATCAGAACATCGTTGGAAAATAGAGACACCCTCTATTTAGGCATCGGTACTCGCCTTCGAACCAACCCAGTGTCGGCCGCGAAATGTACAGATAGCCAGTACCGAATTGTATTTAGTGACGTTTAGTGACTGCGAATGAAAGTGACACGGATATTATTGCTGATTAACGATAACTAAATATTGGATGCGGTGAGGACATAGTGATGTACAATCATTAGATATTATTCTAGTATAAAATAACATGCGTAAAGCAAGAAAGAGATCAGATTTATTCTAATGGGTAAGTTCTGCAATGAAATTTGAATTTACAAAAAAATTTAATTGTAATTCGTCTTCACAGAACACATTTTTCATGAAAATCAAGGTGTATTTTTTACTTTACATTGAAAGAATGTTTTGACTACAAACAATAGACAACATTTTGCCAAAATCTACAATTTCTATTTTGAACCATTGCAGTTACCACATGAAAACGCCACTATTCTTTCACCAATTGCTTGACGTCTGCTTTTTACTACCATATTAAATTAATAAAAAATACTTAATTTAAAATAATTGTAAAATAATAAATAGACAAAATGACTATCGCCGGCTAATTAATATGACACGGTGGGTTTCCACTGTCGACACTGCTCAAAACATAAACATCTTTCTCGTTTCGTTTCATTCAAAGATAACAGATACTATAATTGATGTTCATTTATTTGCAGGCATTACTGTTCTCTTTCTGTGGACATGGCTGTCGGTGGTGACTGCAGGCATCATACCGCGCCTGGGTGACGACGACTCCGTCTGTAGAACTTATATACTCAATGATATGCAATACATTGATTGTTCTGATCGAGGACTTACAGAGTTACCAGAAATGATAGATTACGATGTAAGTTTTATTTTTAATTAAGAACTAAAGAGAAGTTACGGATGTAAAATGTTTTAGAATTTTAATTAGTTACGTCTTATATTTTTATAAGAAATTTATACGATCGTCATCTTGCCTGATATTATGCATTCACAAATAACCATAAGCGTCTCCAAATCTAGTATTGCCAGACGTTAGGAAAGACAGACTTGTGGATGTTGAAAAGAGAAGAAGGAAGTGGTACAAAGTATACAGAACGAACTCAGCCACAAGACTATGGTTATTTATAAATCGTAAATAAAAAACGCTGGTGCAGTAACGTCATGGTACATCCCCGGTGAATCCTTTTTTGACCAAATTATCAATCTAATCGAACTCCAGATCTACTGATAGCGATTCAGTTGCTTAACCAATGATCTATCATCGCTAATGTATCTTTCTTAATTAACATATTAGATAATATTAATTTCATAAGCTTAATTATTATTTCAGGCACAAGCAATTCTATTATCGAATAATAATTTTATCGCCTTCCCTGAGGGACTGGAAAACTTTTCAAGCGTCGAACTATTGGATATGTCCGGCAATCGATTAACGAATCCTTTGCCGACCTATTTCCAGAAATTGCAGAATCTTCGTACTCTAAATCTATCAAACAACAACTACGATAAATGGGTGAGCAGCGACACCGAATATCATATTAAAAGACTGGATCTATCTAAGAACAAAATCAGCAACATAGACATGAAAGCATTCGAAAAAATGACAAATTTATCTTTTCTCGATTTATCTGAGAACAGAATCGATGATTTACCATCAACTGTCTTCTCCGATGCTAAGAATCTTGATACTGTCATCCTATCTAGAAATTATTTCTCTGAACTACCAAATTTCCAATCACAATCTTTGAGGACTTTGGATTTAAGTTACTGTCAAATCGCAAAAATAGATCCTGCAGCCTTAACGGGTATGAGTTCCTTATTAGCGATAGATCTTTGTATGAACCAAATTGAGAACGTCCCAGATGGCGTAGCTTCGAACACTCTACAAGAATTAGATTTGAGCTACAACGAAATAAGCGAAATAACAGACGGCACTTTCTCGGCGCTGCCGCATTTGGCAGTGTTGGACTTGAGAGGAAATGAGTTCAGAGAGGTTTGGTCTACTTCACATTTCTCCTCGAATCCGTTTTTGAGGGAAGTTCACGTGAAGGGAAACCGTTGGAGTTGTGAGGGATTCAGCGTCAATTTGTTACTGACGTATGACTTTTTGACGAAGGAGCCTCCGAAGATAGCGGATGCGGGGTCACTGATTTGTTATTCCCCTTCTAATGTAACTCAGCTGAGTTGGCAGCAAGCTTACATATTGACATGGCATCCGACAGAAATGTCGAAACAGACGTACACATTCATGGCAGTATTAATTGGTGTTATAATCGGCATTGCTATAACGTCGTGCGTGTGTAGGGGTTTAATGTCTTTAAACAAGCCCAGTCCCACTACAAGTCATCTCCGGACAGCTACGGAGTCCACCACGGTTAGCGGCAATGGTGTAACTGTGCAGCCTAGAGTCGAAAGCGTTGTTATGAGGATACCGTTGCGCGAGGACGAGCCACCGACTTACGAAGAAGCGTTGTTAATGCCTCGACTGAATTCATCATTCCACTCTTTGCCTGACTTTATTGACGAAGAGGAACAGACTCTCGATCGTAATTGCCGTAGGTCCCGGTCTATTGGGGATCTCACAGAGTCGAGGCCTAGGGCCAGCGAGAGACGGTCGATAAGGCGAACTGTTGAAATACGTATTAATTGAAAACAACGTTAAAATTTGTTGTTATTTTTTGTTATTATATTGATTTATTAATTTATGTAGCGATAAGGTTACCATTTTTAAATATTCCTTTATTTTATTAATCTAATACGATTAAGGGTAAGTTAGAAATTATAAAAAGATAAGATGTATTTAATTCCTTACTAATAACTTATTGTCTGCATGTTTGTTATTTGTGTAAATATTGTCCAGTGTATGAGTTAGGAATAGTTTTTTGTTATTTTTTAATTAAACAATATAAAGTTGTATGTATTATTATATACGAATTAATTTGACTTTTATTTTAGGACTGAAAAATAAAAAGACTCATTAATATTGTCACATTATTTCTACTATTACCCTTACATTTTTGGTAAATAAAATGATTATGTGTTACAAAATGTTATTTACATTTAGATCGACCTACTGACAAGAAAAAGATCTCATTAGATTAGACTGGATAACACATTACGTAAAATCTTCGCGTAAAAAACAGTTTTATTGTTTTAGCTTCAGCGACATCTATTAACAAATTTTGATAACAGCCACCGTGGTTGCTTAAATCGTGTCAAAAAGACTCATATATCTGCTATTCGCCACTAGATGTCGCTTTACTGTGTAAAAGTGATTTTAAAACAAAATAGAAAATACACCTTGTAATAAAATTGTACCATTTTTATTTATAAAATTAAGTACGATAGAAATGCATGGTCTACAAAATTTATTTTTAACAAAAAAAAAAATTCTTACGCTGACCTATTCAAAAAAAATAACTATTAGTATAAATTAATAAGCGAGTAAAATAAGTTGTGTGTTAGAAAAAAAAAGTGTTTAATACTACTACGGGTTATATGATCTGCGATTTCGCAAAACTGTCTTATCAAAGATAACAAGTAATACGCTTAATTCGGTTCATACAATGTTATCTTTCGCTTGGAGTCACACGTAAAAACTGTACATCCCTTCGGAAAAATTAAACCCACCGACTAATGATAGAATCAACCGGCTTTAACTATTTTCGTACTAGTATTAGTTTATCTATTCCGTATTTAAGTGGAAGAAACGATAGTGTGATACAACAAATGTTTTAAAAAGTGAGTGTAGATTTCAAGTGCTACAAGATTTAATATTTTACATAATACAAGTGCTACAAGTTATCGAATAGTATTTGATGATCACATTATGGTAAGTGAAGATTTTACAATCTCGACATCTAAAATAACCTAAAAATAACGTCGTGTTAAAATAAATGATGTTGAAATGTTAGTTACAATCATTGCCATTACAGAAATGAATTTAGAATTAAATTGTTAAACAAAATGACTCACAAATGTAATGATATGAAATTAATTGTTTATTCACAGAACGATGATTCAGAATTGTCTGTAAATGGTTCATTGCTGAAAAATCTATGACACAATTCGACTCTCTCTTCAGTATTAAAGGTATGTACATAAAATCGACCTAAATATATGTAGCCCACAACCTGCGCCTTTATCAAATACAGATAACAAAGATAAAATTGTTGTATGCATGTAATATGTTGGTATTTATATCATTTTCATGGCAATATGTAATAGTTTTCTTACACGAGCTGTTCCCATGCGACTTCACCCGCATAAAATTATGAAATTTTATTTGTCTACATGTGTCACTGTCAAATCAATTGCAAATGTACGAATGACATGACATGATGCCAAAGCATGGCAACCTTGGTTCCTTGATGTTGGCAGCAACTTATGGACTCTTTCCCACATTAGGGTTTTTATCCAAAATATTTACCCCCTAAGTTTAATGGCGTGAAAATGTATAGTCTAAATCATGACGTAGATGTAGGGCTTTTTATTTAAAAAAGATTTTTTCAAAAATATGCTGTGATTGCTGACATCTTAGGCAACAAAGAAGTGTGTGTTTACGCTTTTTTATAATAGTATAGATGTATAACAGTTATGTGTAGATTAAGGTCGGGCTTGACGTTTTTGGTTAACTGAAACGTGACATGAAAATAATCAATGAAAAATAACGCAGGTGTGCGAGTGACTCAAAACATTCGACCATAGGTCTCAAATATTTTGAAATTAGAGAAGTTTATTTAAAATTGTTATGAAGACTATCTATTTTAATTTATTTAATAATTTTTCCTTGATAAACTTTATTAAATACTACCTGTCGCCAGCGACTCGGTCCGCAACTAAAAAAAAAACAAATGCAAATAGCCTATGTGTTCTTCCAGACTATCTTCTACATTTATGCCAAATTTCATCGAAATCCGTTCTGCCGTTTAGGCTACAAACTCTAAAAAACATCCATCCATCTAAACTTTTGCATTTATAATATTAGTATGAGGTGTTGCTTCTGATCTGTATAGATGGATAGGTAATCGCTTTGATGTGATGACTTTAGTTTCACTACGATTTAAAAATACTTGTACTCTAAGGACAGTTAATTCTTTTAGTTCCATTCCTCACCACAGCGAACAATTACAGTCAACATCATAAGACACTCTGGCCCATTAATATTTCGCTTACCAAGCCTGTTGATATTTTTCAGATAGTTATGCTAAGACAGCGGTATGCGGTTGCTAGATCTTCTGTTGCTGGTGATGGTGGCGAGCGCGGAGATCTCCGATGTCGATGACAGCGACCGAAATGATGCGTGTTACATCTGCAAGTGCAGCGCCGACAGGGCTAACGTCGATTGCTCCAAGCGCGGACTGACCGGTATACCAGATGGCGTTAGTGAGAAGGTAGTTACAAACTTCTATTATGCAAATGTTGACTAATTTTAAAATGTTACGTTATAATTTTTAAAATAACTTATAGTATATTCTTAAAACAGTTAGAGGGGCGCACATCTGTGACTCCACTAGCGCACAAACGTTTTGCGATTGTCGATTGTTTCGTAGCCAATTCAACTGTTCAGTTGCACAACTACTAGTGTCCACACCTCCATATAAGTTCATAGGAATCAAAGCAAACTAAACAGTTGTGCGGTAGTTTACTTTCAGATGTGCGCACGCTCTTAACATATTGCTGCTATACTAATCAAAATACTAATAGGAAAATGTACTCGAAGAGCATAAACCGCAAGCTATGTCAATAAGGTCATCCCCAAGATATCAATAAAAATAATTAGTGATAAAATTCCAATTAATTACCCTTATCATTTTCTTCAATTCCAGGTCACGCGGCTCAACTTGTCCAGCAACGAGATATCAAAGTTTCCAGAAAATTTAAACAAACTTCACAATCTTGTGGATCTCGATCTAAGCAACAATAGAATTAATTCAATTCCAGAAGATGCTCTTAATAATATGACGTCACTTGAATTGTTGAACTTGTCGCAAAATGATTTCAATTCATGGCTCAATTTAAATCCTAATGAACTTCTACAGCCAGCGACAAATCTAAAAATACTTGATTTATCTTATAATAAGTTTTACACGATGGATAATTTAGCAAATCAGGAACTTTTAATAAGCCCTTCATTAGAAACGTTGATTCTAGATAACTGTAAAATAACCTCAATTCGCGGTAGATCACCTTTAAGTGGGTTAATAAATATAAGGGTGTTTAAAATTAATTTTAACCCGTTGTCGAGAATCCAAGGTCTTGTTTCTCCAACGCTCAAAAGTTTCTACGCTAGTAATTGTCTATTGAATTCCATCAATCACAATGAACTATCATATTTGCCATCGTTAGTATATCTGCAACTTTCAAATAATAACGGTTTAGTTTTATACAGTTCAGCTAGTACTGTAATGTCCAATTCATTAAAGTATTTAGATGTTTCTTATTGTAATATAATGCAAATCAGTCTTGCAGGATTTCCAAATCTTAGGAGGGCATTACTAAGTCATAACGTAGTAAGATTTTTGGAGAGTAATAATTTTATAAATAACTCTAAATTAGAATACTTAGACTTATCATATAATAATATTGGCTCTCTGAAAAGCGATACCTTTCGTGGATTAGGAATGTTGAAATATCTAGATTTGTCTTGGAATGAAATTGCTCATATACCTGAAGACAGTCTGCTAGAAATGCCTTCACTGACACAACTCAAGCTACGCAGGAATTATTTGACAAGAGTTGGTCATTTAAGTTCAACATCAGTCTCTATCCTAGATATGAGCTATTGTGAAATAAACACTATGGGCAAAGATTCCTTAGAAGGCTGGCAATCCCTTATTGATTTAGATTTGTCACACAACCTTCTGTCATACATTCCAGATAGTCTATCTTCAAACAGCCTTAAATTTTTAAATTTAAATTTCAATCGAATAAGTGGTGTAAATAATGCAACTTTCTTCATGCTACCTCGTTTAACAGGGCTAGGAGTAATCGGAAATCGCTTTACAACAGTTTGGAGTAGATCATACTTTGATTCTAACCCTTATTTAGAGAGACTGGATCTGATGGATAACATGTGGCGTTGCGATTGTGCGGACAGTAACATGTTTGACTTTTATGAATTCGTTACGTTAGAGCCAAACAAAAAAGAAGAATCTTACAATCTTATTTGCAACAGTCCTGTCAATTTAGTTGGTCAAACGTGGCTCGAGGCGTGTTATTTCTCTTGGAATCCTGCCGAGAAAAAGGCAAACGCTGATGCATTGATATGGTTTATAGTTGTTATGATAATAGGTTTAGCTTTATGTTTAACTTTGATAAATGTGATAAGAAGATCGATGAATCGCCGATTAGCTGGTTTGCAGGAGGAAAGAATGAGGCAAGTGGAGGAAGCCAGAGATAGGCTTCGGCAGCTTCGAATACGTGCCGAACAGGAGGCATTATGCAATGCACCAGACCCGAGAGATTTAGTGGCACCGCCGTCTTATGATGAAGCTCTCTCTATGCCCAAGCTAACTGCCTCATGCCAGTCGTTATGCGATGAGAGAACGGGCAAAAAGAAAAGAAGACGAGGCAGACGTAAAACGAAATCTAGTGGAGATTTGCTGGAAGAAACTGAGAGAAATGGTGATTTATCCGTAGGAGATGACTTAGAATTAAATGAAGCTCCAGAAACTCATCGTCGAAGGCGACGCCGACGGCCGAGGAACTTCGGTAGTCATGAGATAGCTGAGTTGGATCAGTCTCCAGGAGTACGCCGCAGACGCATGTCTGAGTATGGCATGAGCGGCAACGAGAGTATCACGGTTTTAGTGGAGCCAGTCCTAGAACGACCGCTGCGGCCCAGGAACAGAAGACATTCAATAGATGACGATGATCCTAGGGAAAGTGATTTTTAATGTTTACAATTGTCCACTGTGCAACTTTTGAAATACAATCATACAGAGGTTTTATTTCTATGTTAAACTATGACAAAACAATTTTAGTTTTAGTTAAAAGATTGTTCCAAAACCAACGATTATTTTATGCGTTTAAATATTTTGTGGAAATACTATCCAAGTCATCTTCAGTCAGTCAATTAATTTATTGTTGTAATATTTACTTTAAGAGTTTATGATTTATGTACATAGAATTAAACATAGTTTTTAATTAAACCTCAATTATTGAGCATTTACAAATAATTATTATTATCAACAAGAAATTGGTTAATGTTGTAAATAAACGTTTAACTTTATTGTTTCTATTATTCCCTTAAGTCTAATTGTCTAATCATCTTCCTCTGCTACAATAACTAATCAAACTTTAAAATCATTAATGTGCTTTGTTTTAATCATTTTTTATCCAACTAACACAATGGTTCGATTGTTGAGGATATAATTGTACAAACATTTTAAAATATCATAGGAAAATTGGGAAATAAAATGAAGGAAAAAGAGATTTTTACAATAAATTCTTTATTTTTTATTATTTTGTTCCTCATTATAAATAGCAGCTGGTATGTTTAAATTAGTGATATACAATCTGCAACACGACCGGCAGATTGACGTGACATCAGATAAGAAATGTCATAGCACTTAATGGAAAAAAAATTAACATCAAATTATAAAATCTTATAAAATTTACAATACGCGTACGACATATTTGAATTAATTACAGACATATCAAATAATAGCATGGTTTAACTTACAATAAATGGTATCACAATCTTAAATACTAATTCAATAAAATTATTCATAAGGAACTTAGGTTAGAACTTGAAACAAAGAATCTCTTAATATGAAATAAAAGCTAACACCGGACAAATCTGTTTATTATCGTGTATTGTGAATGTTTTGTATAAAGTAAGTACACAACCATTGACAATTCAAGATCATATGGAATATAAAACATTGCCTTACGACACAAATGAAAGTTTATTATTTTTACGTATATGAATAGAAATTAAAAAGGTTGAATTTCACAAACATGAATGAATATTAGTACTAAAATGAACATGGCAACAATTTACATGTATAAAAATATGTTTTTCTTACTAGAAATATAATTTTATAAATATATTTTACCACTAGCGAATTAAAAAGGCACTGTCGACTACAAACACACTTTGGCAGCAACGTTTCTAGAAAAATTAGTCAAAACTATTTACCCTACCCTCATGCACATGAGTTCCCACTTTAACGCACATACAAAATCACAGAACTTTGCCAATAGTGTTATGTTTGTTGACACGATACACAAAGCATTATTGTCCTTCTTTCACAGAAGCTATATTTCAAGTGGTCGATTTACGTGTGTTTTCTTCTACTGTTGGTGTTATAATGATGTCTCCGGCGTTTGACCTACTTCTGGTGACTAGTACCGGCGTCTTAGGCTTCGGCGTCTCAGTCATTTTGATTCGAACTCTTCCCATGTCTGGGGAATATACAGGCACGTACTCTCGTGACGGTGACAAGAAATCAGCATCGTTAATTGGGTCTCCATTAATTAGTGGTTGAGATATATCTGAATCAGCATTGCCGTTTAATCTGGGATTGTCGTCGTCGTTTATAGGAACGAATATATCCTCGCTAGATAATGAGTGAGTATCCTTCTTGGAGCTCGGCGATGCTGGTTCAGAGTCGAATGAAGTTTCTTGTTGCGATAGTTGGCTGTCTTCAGCAAGGTTGTTATCAATCGAGCTACGTTTATTCTGATTTGAGTCTCTAGGACTATCTATTCCATTGCTGTCCTTGGGCTTAAAGCCGTTTCCAATTTCACCATTATCACCTTTCTTTGGATAGTTTTCATGAGTTGGGACTAGCTCATACTTTCCATTTATTACTTTTTCCGTTGGGGTGTCAACAGGGGCTGGTTTACCTAATAAAGATTTATTCATATCTACCATTTCTTTAGATGCTTTCTCTACGTCTCTCTTTTGTTGTCTCATTAATCGTCTATCTCTACGTTTTCTCATTTGACCCTTCACAATAGCAAATCCTATTAATCCAACAAGGAGGATAACAATTAAAGCTATACATACGTAAGTGCCTGTTTTGTGTGGCGCAACATTTTCGTTATTTGACGGTACCTGTCCTAAGACACCTGCAGCTTGCGTTACTCGAATTTGCTCAGAAACAGTCGTGTCGCGTATAATTTGTGGTGTTGCAGCTACGACAGTTTCAGTAACTGTCTCTGGAATAGTTCTACTATGCCAATCGGCACCTCCTTCATAGATTGACGGAGGTGGAGGTATAGGAAATTCAGAAGTTGCTGTGTTCGAGTCTTCCTCAAATACTTTGCGAACCGGACCCGGATTTAATTCTTCGTATATTGGCGTTGTTGTTTCTTGGATCTTTTCCGTTGTAAATTCAATTTCTGGGACGTAAAATCCTGAACCTTCACCAGATCCTTCTATTGGATCATCAGTTGTGTGCAAATTGTCAGCAGGAATGACTTCTTCTGCAGCTAATAAATTTGCATAACTTTTCCGGTTCTGAACAGGTTCAATTATGTCACTCATTGTTGTGCTTTCGGCTTCTCCAGATCCCTCAATGTCATTCAAAGGCGATGAAGTAACATAGTGACCCACTTTCAAAAACTGTTCGCTGTCATCGTCTTCTCTAGGCTCGGATCCATGAATAACTTTTCCATCTTCTAAGTCATTTATTGCCACCAAGGGCATTGACTTCAGTGCAGTCGTTTCTTCGCCGACTTTAATTGCATCAATTGGCTGATCGCCCATCATCATGTCCAAATATTCGTTTTCGATTTTAGCTGATTTACAAATGTCCTTTGTTTTTAACTCAAGCCACGACCGGTTTTGTAGCTTTGTTGGACTAACACATTTTACGTTATCTATAAAAACATTTGCAGCCAGTAGGCGATCACGAGCTATAATGTTCTCACACGAACATTCCAAAGGATTACCCTCAAGTTCTAAATGTTCCAAACTGATTAGGTGCCCTAAATCTGAAGGCACATCCTGTAGCAGATTATTTGTTAAATCTAATGAACTAACACTTGTAGGCAAATGCGTCAAGGACAGCTTTTTTATCCTGTTATTTGCTAGGTTAAGATGTACTAATTTCTTTGCATTGTGTAAAAATTTATTGAGATCTGTGATACCATTTGTAGATAAATCTAATGTAACGACTTCTGTTAATCTGTCCAGTTCGTGGTTTAACTTGGTTATGTTATTATGTGACAGATCAAGAATGTTTATATTATGATGCTTCTGACGGAGAGTGAATTTGTAAAGTTCAGCGAGACTGCTGCATGTGACACGATGGAGGCCGTCGCGAGTTGTATTGCAGACGCAACTTTCTGGACAGACCGCGGCAAGTATGGGTGCCACCAGCAGGGATACCGCCAGGAAACAGGCGGATGCGCGAAGCCAGGCCATTGTCTATGGACTGCACTACCTGGAAAGGAAAATAAAATGTTTATAGTTTCGTAATTGGCGAAAATATCAAATGTGTTCTGTAGTTGTTATTAATTTAAAATGATAATTTAACTAAATTGTTTTTAAAGTAGACTTTAAGATGTTAATTACAACACTCGTTTTTACCGTTTGGGGCAATTTCTTTGTTACTTCTAATTAAGTAGAAATCTACGCAGAATCGTGTTGTGATAGGAGAAAAAAATGACTGCTATAAAATCAAGTATCTATTCCTGACCGCATAATGACACCCTCAGTGCACTTGGCCGGCACTCGCGGCCAGAAGTGGTTCAATGTTAGCGCAACAGGAAGTTGGTTGTTAACCGTTTGTGCAAATGTCGTCTTCACGGGGGACGTATTGTTTGGTTCCAATTGGAAAATATTGCGCAATTCTTAACGGTTAGCACCTTGATTGTTATATTGTTATACTGATGTATGGTATATATCTTGTACATTTATGTAAGCCACAATTTTGTACAAATTTAATAAACAAAAGATAAATTTGCAGCTTTCCATAAGATGAATGTTTTAGACATTTCCATTTTGACAGTGAAAAAAAAAAGTATCATATGTGTATAGGGCTTTAAAAATAGTCTGATAATTTAAAATGTGCGAATGAAGTAAGTTTAAACTAGTTTAAAAAAACATATCAAAAAAAACTTTAACACTCGACCCTGGTTTATTGTACTGAAAAGTATTTCAAGGTTCATGTACTTTATGAGCTGTCCTGTTATTCTCGAGGTGCAGCTGATCATTATAATATTTTTGTCATCAAGCCTTATATGGACTTTCCTCTTATAGCTGATGTGATAAACATTTTGGTCGAGAAAATCATAAGTAAATATATAACATGAAAAGTATATTTCGATTGTCTCATGTTTAAGTCTAAATAATGACAAAATAAAAATTAAACATTTTTTTTATTAACTAAATTAATTACCACACGATAAGTATCTGATAAGAAATCGAAATATCTTATTTATTTAATATCGTTCTGTATGTTTTTTCCCACCGATATCAAGGAAATTATTTATTCAAATACATAATTCCAACATCTTATACAAACCACACCTGTTACATAATACGGTGCTATAATTATCAATTTAAATATCAATCTAGAGAAAATAACATGGTCAATGAACAAATAGTAAGAGGCCACGTAATACAGATTCAAAACATGTTTAAATGTCACCGCGTATTAATAATCTGTAGCATTTTAGTGTCATCTAAATTATTAATTATTTAACAACGGTAAGAAATAAATAATACTAATATTAAATGCAATTTAGTTCCAAAATAAGCATTTAATTAAAAAATTCAATTTTCCTAAATTAGTAACATGTTTATGTTTACGTTTTTGTATCACTAGACTTGCAGTCAAGAAGGTTAAGAAAAATAAACACAAAATGACTTTCATTTTCAAATGGCTATTACACAGCTAATAGCTACATCATTGCGTTTAAAACTAAACAAATCCCACAAGGGCATCGGATGTCGAAATTCAGTGGTGATTCAGTGAATAGATTGCAGTCAATTTTAAGACCTATTGACCATGAGAAAACAGACCTATCGCGGTTGACTAAGCGATTTTATCTTGAACTTTTCAGTCAATCATTCCATTATATTAAAACGATAAAACAAGCAAGTTAAGATTTATTTATTACTAGTTGTTACTTGCGACTTCGTCCACGTGAAATTAAAAATTAGTCGTGTTACTAAACGATAATATAGCTTTTTAATGGTGAATTAATTTTTGAAATCTACCCAGTAGTTTTTGAGTTATTTTAATACATACAAAAATACAAATATTTCCTGTGTATAATATATGTTTAGATTTAGATTTAAGTAGTTAAATAGGAATAAAATAGAATTAACGCTACAAAAGAAATTGGATACACTATTATAAGCTTAGTGATAACCTAAAAATTAGGTAAACTAAACCAATTAAGTTTTTATTAAATTAGATAATCAAATTGCCTATAGAATGGTTTCTTACTATAAAGTGTTTTTTATTTGTTATTCTTCATGATAAATATTAAAGAGGAATTTCAAAATTGGTCTAGGACCGGAGACACGTCGTAACACACATGAAAAAAGCAAAAAAAAACATACACACGAATTTCCTTCTTTAGGGAAGTCGGTCAAAAAGAAAAATTTTTGACGATTTTTTACGTTTAAATTTAATTTAAAATCTCTCAGTCAAAAAATTACACTTCAAATACTGGTTTGCAGTAAATTTAATAGTAATAAATATTAGTAATTGATAGTTTACTGGTAAAGTTGCTATATAATATGTATATAATTGTTATGTAACAATTTTGCTATATGTACTTTCACGATACGCGATACAAGTAATACTCGAGAACAGCAAAACTAATAAATCACGCAGATTTTATCAATTACTTATAGTTTGCTGTTTCCTTATTGCTTTCCCACGTTCCTCATTCAATTATAAATAACCGAGCAGTCAAGTCGCAAGACGGCTGAAGAATATATTGATATAACTTTACTGAAATTACTTCGTACTTGCTGTTGCTCGCGACTTCTCCCGGGTGGAAAGTTATATGCTACGTTACTCACTGATAATGTAGTTTCTTAATGGTAAAAGAATTTTTGAAATCGGTCCAGTAGTTTTTGAGTTATTTTAATACAAACAAAAATACAAATCTTTCCTCTTTATGTTAGTATAGATTTAAAAAATGACAAACGTTGATAAATCAACAGTGCCGAATATTTTCAGATTATTTTAAAAGAAGAATGTATCGATTTAAGTTTTTAAATCATAGTAGTTTTTGAATTAAATAGATAGTTGTAATCTATACAACTATAATAAAGCGTAAACACACACTTCTTTGTTGCCTAAGATGTCAGCAAATATAGCATATTTTTGAATAATTCTTTCTTTTTTAAAAAGTCCTACACTTACGTCACGCTTTAGGCTATATATTTTCACGCCTTTAAACTTAGGGGGTAAATATTTTGGATAAATACCTTAGTAGTAGTAGTAGTAATTTGACAAATCTAAACAATAAATAAAATTTTCATAATTTCATGCGGATGAAGCCGCACGGGAACAACTAGTAAATCCATTTAAAAAAATGTTTTTAATGATCATTCTTTAAGTGGACAGTAATGTGAAGATAACTAGGATAGATAAGGCATTAAAGAATTTATATGACAATAGTACAATAGCTTAGGTAACAATGTAGACATCTTACTTTGTTTTAGTTCGTTCAACCGCTATTATGTTGACGTAATTAACTTGTGTACAATAAAATAAATAACATTGATATTGCGCATAATCTTTTATATAAAAATTGTAATAACTCCTAAACTACTAACCATAATGAAAACTACTGGCAATTTCAGCAAACTTCCCTTAAAACTAGGAGTCCTTTAAGTATCATTTAGGGAATCCCCGCTAAGAATTTCATTTTCACAAACTCTTAATTGGTTGAGAGTTTCTTTGGAGAGACATCTACATATCTATGACTACTTTAGGACCTTAGAAACAAATTACAAGATAGTTTAAAAAAATCTCAAAGTTTTGTTACGTCTAGAAATAAATAATTATAGCTATCTTTTTAATAACTTTACCGAAAGTAAAATTTGCATTTCTGCCCTTCGTAAACTGCAGTTTTTTAATGTGTTATGTAACACAAGGTGTGTTAGGTTCGAATTAGAAAGCCGTCGGAGAAAGCAGTTATAATGTAAATATGAATTGATAATGGGCTTATCATTCATTTTTCACACTTGTATGTTTAATGAAGGTAGCGTTTAATCAAATATCTTCTAATATTATAAAGAGAAAAGATTTGTATGTATTGAATGTAATAATTCAAAAACTATTGGGCCTATTTCAATTCTAAATAGTAACATAGGCTGTACTTTTTATCATTTTTTTTTATTTCAGGAAGGCGAAGTCGCGTGCAACAGTTAGTTTTGAACAAATCGACAACTGTTTCGTCGTATCCCAAAATTACTACAAATTATTTATTTTATTCAGTACATATTTGGCACACTCTTTTGGCATTTAACGCAAAAACAAGTAAAACTTAAAATAAGAAATTCTGTATTAAAAATAAATTTGGATAAAATACAAATTACGTCTTTAACGAAATAAGTAATGTTAATTATTAATTTATTTTTTACGAAATAATAAATGTTATTTTAATATAGAACTGTTAAATAAAAAACTAAAATCGTGCTTAATAGTCACGATAATATTATTTCATATAAAACTATCGTTTTCATGACAACTGTTGCCTAGTTATAGGTAGTAACAGCCGCACTCGGAACCTTTTACTCTCCAACTTTTGGACTCAAAGTGCGGAATGACATTGTTTACTAATTAATTGGAATATTTGATGATCATGAGATTATTTCAATGTTTTTAAACCAAAGGCTAAAATTTGTACAAATTTCGATTGTTTTGGCAACATAAAGAACTACGTAAATAAACAGACTAATACGTAACGTACGCAACATTAAGATTTAATAATATTTATAATACGCACTTGAACTTGATGGATGTTTGCACGCACTCCATTAGATGCGTGGGATTAACTACCAATAAATTTTCATTAGATTCTAGCAACGATTGTGTGTGAATTATCTAGTTCTAGATAACGATTGCAATTGTTTTAGAATAGGTTACAAGAAATATTAGATACTTATATTACTCCCTTATAGAGTCGGCACAGAATGTATTGTTCTACCATAGATATTTATCTACCTTCATATCTGAATTCCCTCTTTCACACTCTATCCATACTTTCTTCGGTGTCCCACTACCTTTACACTAAGGGCCTGTCCCACCACTAGCTGATAGAGGTTCAGATAGCTTAAAAATGACGTCACTCTCAGATAAGGTAACTCAAAACTAAATCCGATACTACCATCACATATTTTACACGTTATATTGTTATCAGATAATTTAATTTAGTGGGACAGGTGCTAACTAATTTCTCCTTTAATTTAT